CCAGCCAGACGGTCCGAGCGACAGACTCGACCGCCTGATCGCTTTGTCCCAGGCTTGTAGGTAGCCTGATTAACATGAATGCTTCAAAAGGCAAGAGGTAAGAGGTGCGCTCAAATTAACGTAAAATCAGTCGCCCTGATTTTCCTTTTAACTAGCTCAGCAGACAATCGGTTGGCTCCTGGCGCCGGAGTGCGATAGATTTGTTTAACTCTTTATGGAAAGAGAGTGTGCGCGTCGAGCTAGATTCGGTCAATCCCTGGGGACGTTTCTGATTGACATGTAAATGTCATTAAACTCAGTTTGAGTAGGAGCCCTCTAGCAGCCTGTTCAGAGCATCATGGCATGGGATGTAAATAGCGTGGTCTGGTTAACATGTGTTTGGGATGGGACCCAGCGTACCCATTGCCACCATTGACGGTTAGCCATACCTGTTCAGCTAGCTAGTTGATAAGTGAGCGATACTGTGCGATGACGTGTCTGTGTTTTTCGTTGTTGCTGACTACCAGTCAAAGTCAGCCGGATGCTGCCAAGCATCATCTAGCGACCACGGTGTTCTGGTGTCGCGTGGCGCGTGCTGATGATGTCGCATGTGTCAAAGAGTGTTTCTAGATGTAAGTGCACGCCTTTCATTCAAAGGAGGGAGAAGTGTAATCGGCAAGCTTTGCGCCGATTAAAGTTTATCTGTTTCACCGGCGAGAGGAGCCCGGTGACCATATGATGTCTGGACAGGAATTTAATTCAACGGTTTTGCGCGTGATCGTCTGCTATTCAATTGTTGCTTCAGGTATGAACTCGAAGCTGTCCTAGATAATGTAATTAAATGTTTTTTATTATGTACGGCATATTATTAGAATGGTAAACACTCTTATTCATGCTTAGCGGTTTTACTGACCAATTAGTATAATGTTTTATATAGCGGATGCCGCGATCGGAGCATCTCATGGTGCACTATGTTTTCGCCCATCAGCTGATCACGGCAGGTGTTCGGCTGACTTGGGCGGGGAGTCTGGATCGAGAGCTCAAGGAGTGAGGTTGCGCTCCTGGCTCTGTTATAATGTAACCTAAGCTAAATACAATGTAATGTTCTTCACTTTTGATTATGTCGATTCACCTTCAGTAAACACGGGTTTACACATCGAATGAACTATAACTTGACCTTGAAAGGTCAACTTGAAAATTTGACCTCAGGTCAAGGTCATGACCTGACCGGAAAGGGTCATGTTGCATATCAGTCGATCCGTATCGTCGAGCTGAACACATCTAAGGCGTTTTCATCGCTCTAGCATGCCTCTATCAAAAGTTATTTGCGAAAAACTGTTAGATACCATTCGTGACCTAAGATGACCTCAGGGCATAAACAAGGGTCACGGACACCATTTTCAAGTTCAGTGTGTCTAAACCCCTTGTAATTCGGTGTTTGGGAGTGTTTATAATGTCTTTCATCCAAAAGAGGCGCATTTCAATTTTCTCCCATTGACTTATAATGGGGAGGTCGCAAAATTGACCTGACCTTAGGTCATCGATATCAAAATTCTGAGATATACATTTTGTACATGCTATTGCTCTTAGCAATCGCTGAAAGTTTCAAAGCGATCGGTCACTCGGTGTAGCTATGACAGACATTGAAAGTTTTTATGAGGTGAGGTCACTTCAAGTGACCTGGTGACCTGACCTTGAATGACCTTGGTCTGAAATTTTCACAACATGTGTAGAATTGATGTATGATAAGGTGTACCAAAAACGGCGGCGCTCCGCGCCGCCGTTTTTGAGATATTCGCGAAAAACCACAAGGGGGGGGGGTGTTCAAACACCCCCCCCCCCCCCCCCCCCAGCAGGGCGCGGGTTAAGCTTCGTTTCGCCACTGCTCATACAACCATCATGACGCTGATTGGCATGCTCTCGCCGGCAGTACCTACACGTCTCGATGATGGCTCCGGGCTAGGTGACCACAGCGCGGTGCACACGCCCACTGGCGGCTTCCAGACCTACTCGGACACAGTGGTACCGACGCCGCCGCCGCAGCCCCAGCAGCAGCAGCCACCGCCACCGCCGCTGCCGACGGCGCCCGGCGCGCCGCCCAAACCGAGTCACCAGCCGCCCACCGAGGTGAGCTGGCGGCCTGACCCTTCAGATAGGGTGAATCCAACTACATGCGTGTGGACGTCAGGGAAAGGGCTGCTATGGTTGCTATTCATTCTTCTCCTGTGCTGTTTTTTTTCTTTGTCTGTTGAAATAATATGCGAATATCCAGCGTTGTTGATCACATGCGCCCCTGCTGACGCTCTGATTCTGTTGCTTGCCACAGGAGTAGGTATGGCACCAACAGGCAACAACATCCTGTCGCACGCTGTGCGGCGGCGGCCGGCGTCGGGGGCCACCACGTCACCGCGCACCACTCGTACAACCAGCCGCCGTCGTCCGCGGGACGACCCATTCACCTCCAGTGGGTCCCCTCGCATTGCGGCCTTCCTGGAAATGAGAGGGCAGACACCCTGGCGGAGGAGACCTCCGCCCTGGACCAGAACTCAGACACACACCACTGGACACCAGAACGATCCAGAGAGCAGCGGCAAGGCTGGCGCGTGCGAGGACCATAGCGGCCTGGCCCGACGGCTGGTATCGCCAACTGCCGGTGTGGGCTCTGTCGTGAGGAAGCAGACACCTCGGCCCACGCGCTGATGCGGTGTCCCGCCCTGGTGCAACTGCCGGTTCCGAGTGCTCGGAACTATACACCCGACCCACGAGGACCTGCGCAGCATCGACGCAGTAGCGGCCCTGGGTGCCGCCTTCGTCCCCCTCCAGAGCCGGCAGGATACGCCCTAGGGCTGGAGGGAAACAACAACAACAACAACAGAGGACATGAACCCACTTAATGTGTTCAAACGCTACCGCGACAGCCGCAAGGTGCTCGAGTACCGGACGGAGCTGTTCAGCTCGTGTTGCGAGGTGCCATCGGCGTGGTGCCGGCGCAATATGAGCACGGTACGCTGCCGTGCGCCAGCTGCCTCAGTCTGCTGGCCAGCCCGGTGAGACGGCACCTCGCCGTCGCCGCCAGACGCTCAGGTAGGATCTCTGAGTGATTTGCTGAGCTCAGCTTGAAGTGAGTCACCCAGCAGCGACTGGAGCGGTCCGAGCGAGCCCGTGTACCGCCGCCAGTGTTTGGTCGTGTTTGGGGCCGTACGGCGCGGGTGATCTGTACGGGCGCGGCCGTATCTTATGTTACGTATCGTAGCTAAGCACGACTTGACACTGTCCACCACGGGACCCGCCCATGTTGACGGCGTCGCAATGTACTCATTGATTGACTAGTGCTGCGCGACTGCTCGGAGTTGACCAGTTAACGTTTTGTAGGCTTTATTATCACTGGCGGAGGCGTGGGGACTGGGGAGTGTTTTCTATTCGTCAGTGTTTGCCGAGGCGAGGCTGCTTAATGCCGATTGTGACATGTTACTATGTATGCTCACGTGAAGTCGTCGGGTTATCTAACTTGGTTCATCAATAAATGGTGCGACCTACAAAGTGACAATGAGATGAAAACGACTGAGTCATCTTTATGGAAAAATGTCTGTGACGTATGTGAAAGCAGGTCATATTGGTGTGCAGGTCATACGAGGTCAACTGAGGTCACTGACCCAGGACTAAAACTGGTTATCCTAAGATAACTCGTAACGCTCGCAATACACTCGTTTTTCCGCGAAGCTCTAACTCCCATCAGGGGCCCGAACGGCGGCGGGCGGGGTTCCAACGTACCTCCGGCACCTTCACCCGCACACCGCACACGGGCGAGAGTTCAGACAAATCAGAGGTCACTGGTCCTTTTAACATGTCAGGTAAGTGATTCCTTTCTGGGTACGTCAAAGGTCAATGACCCACATGACGGAGGTCAGAGGCCCGTGACGCGTCATTCATCTCAGTTCAGGTCAGATCTGAGTTAGGAGATGTGAGAGCTCAAGTTGAAGTGACACCTATGGTTAGCGATCTTCGGGGATAGGTCGAATGTGTGTGACCTGTAGGTACTGGAAAAGGTTAGAGGTCATTCATCCACCAAGGGCTTATATCAGGGGTCACTGGCCCGTTATGAAGATAGGTATGAGGTCGTAGACTCGTAATCCATCAATAGACATAAAACGGCCACTATCTATGAAGGAAATAGTAAAATCGATCGATTTGTAAAGGAATTGCTTCATTTGGAAGCATGCAGTTTGTTTACATTTTACGCGTCAATTATGTCATTGATGCGCCACAATACCTACCTGTCAGCCATATTGGAATACAAATGCTCGTTTTCTAAATACTCATTCTGGCTTTTCTAAGGCTTGCCGAGCTTAGAAATTTTTACCATTAAATTCAGAAGACAAAGTTGAGGGGTGATTTACGTTTTAACAAAAATTGAAGGGGTCCGCTCTCAAATGACCTTGACCTTTGACCCCTCATATCTCAGCCCCCAGAGCTTGCCGAACTTAGACAATTTAGGATATTAATGAGGGTGTCTAGATGTATCAGTTCACAAAAATTCATCAAAATCTGAGGGGTCCGCTTTAAAATGGGTCACGTGACCTCCACGTGGCTGCAACCTTTGACCTGACCTAACTTCTAGGTCAGGGCTTGCCGGGCTTAGATTTTATGCCCATCGTGCTCAGCATGTCAATTTGCATCTGCGTGCAAATTTTGAGGTAATTCTGAGGGGTCCGCCCTCAATGACCTTGAACTTTGACCCCTAATATCTCAGCCCCCAGGGCTTGCCGAGCTTAGATAATTTTATTCTGTGATGACCAGGTCATGCTGAGTGGCTGGTGTAAATTTGGTGAGATTCTAAGGGGTCCGTTTTTATCATTTTTTCCATCGAATATGAATCTGCAATCTGAATCTGAATTTGAAGCTAAGTATATAAACGTCCTGTAAACTGCTGAAAACAAGCGGAAAGCCGCTGTAGGAATGTCGCCCGCGACATTCCGCTTTTGCGGAATCTCGCCCGCCGAATGGCCCAGTGTGCGGCCGCCTTTAGTGCGCGATGCATCTAAATCAATTCATTTGAATTCGAATTGAGAAGAGAATTATTTGTAGCGATAGTTTAATTGTATCGTCGGTAAATTGAAATGGTCACAAATTGAAGTGCTCTTTCAAATGATAGATGAGCTTCATGCAGTTCAAATCACTAATATGTGCGAGGGTTTTTACCCATTAGGTATGGTAGGCATCTACCAGTTGTCACGTTTCCTTCAGCTTCATACAAGGTTATATAAACTGCTTCAGCATTGTGCAGAGGGCTGTTCACGGGCCCTGTGTGCGGTCGGACCGCACACAGCCTCGAAGCTCCGCCCACTTCGTCCCTACGTCAGCCCTCCGTCACCGCACACAGCGATCGCTGTGGCCGGTCGGGACTGGCCACAGCGGACCGTCCACCGCACGCAGCCGTGACGTCAGAGCCGCCTACCCATCCCCTACCCCCACGCCTGCTGGACGCTCCGCACACACCGCACGCAGCAGTGTGCGGTGCCCGTGAACACCCCTCAGAAGTTGAAGTTGAATTGTGACCCCTCCTCGTGAGGCTAATAATGTAAGTTTAGGCCACTAAAAAAGTGACACCTGTTTAACAAGGAGGTTACTGCCAATTGGGTGAAAGTATGTAACGTGACGTAGCATTTGCGATGTAGCTAATTAGCTTTCAAATGCTACTGAATGCTAAGACATCATTTGGAATGGTTTTTAAACATTTCACCTCAGAATATCCATAAAAACCCACAAAAAATACTTACAAAACAGACAAACACTTCCTGCCCCTCCCGCTGCCTCGGTTTTCTTTGAGGCCATATTATTAAAGCAGGCATCTCAGGTGCTGCCACCTTTTTGCGAAAAGCCCCTAGACCCGTCAGTTCTTGAGATATTTACCCAAATTTCACTTATTGAAGTCTTCATCAAATAGTACATAGGTATTACAGAACAAAACATAACCTAACCTGACTTAACCTTAGGTACTTACAACCTACCAACCTAAAACTTCAAGCTACAAGCCTACAACCTACAACCTACACTTCCTACAACCTACAAACCTACAACCTACAAACCTACAACCTACAAACCTACCTACAAACCTATAACCTACAAATTTACAGCCTAAAACCCACAAATGTGCAGCCTACAGCAAAATTTGTGCAAATATCTCAGAACTGGTGAGACTTGTGACTTTTCACAAAGGTGGCAGCACCTGAGACGCTTCTTGAACCACCGTGTCACAATTGTAAGGGTAGACAATCTCGGACATGCCTAAGAGCTGGACTTTTTGCACGCGTTCCCCGCCAGGGGGCGCCACTGAGGAAGCACCCTCTGACGTCACGATAAAACTGCGCGCACTGTGCGCACGGTTCTGTAAGCAAGTAATATAGTGGTGGTTTCATGGTGGAAATTGGAATAAGTATTTTGACGTTGTAAAATTTCAAGCCGTTTTTGTTGAATTAATTAGTAAATGCATTTCAAAAGTATTTATTTTAAGTGTGAAAGGAGAATTATTAGAAAAACATGCATATTTTTGTTCCAATAGCTTATTATGTGAGACATGATCGGTACTAACGGGTACTTCTAAGAAGTAGTGAAGAAGTACCAAACTGCCTGCTCGGCTACGATCGTCAGCTGTCCTTTGGAGCTGGACTTCAACGCTGTAAAAAAAATATGTGCTGAATTAATTTTCAGTTTCACCAAAATATAAGCAATTTATCATTTCCTTTTCACTTTTGTAATTTTTGTTGAGCGAAGAGACATGTTGCTAGTTCTGACAATATAAATTATTAATTAGAAAAAACGAAATGCGACGGTAAGTATCTGCTACTAAATTATCACCAAGGACAAATACATCGAGAATCTTGCTACTATTGCTTATAAAACGTGCTTATCAATACACAAATGTTTTATTTCAGACAAGAAGGATTTATTTGCCTGAAGTCTTGCGTCATGTGCTACTGCTTTGATTTCAAAGACGCTCTCCGGGTCGGGGTAATTTAGTTCTTCATCGATCGATAAGAGATTTTGATTCCATTGATATCCCAATTGATAAGCTCGGCACCATGGAGTAAGGGCGTCCCCACAGGGGTGATGCAGGAAATATGAATGGCGTTTACACCGACAGTAGTTTCCCACAGCCGGCAATGGGAATCTCCTGTCGGTGTAAACGCCACTATAGTCCCATCCAACTCAAACACTGGGGAATATCCCCGCACTTTTGAGGACGGAAATCTATGGACCTGCTCGAAAAATAGTGGATCAAATACGGCGAGCTTTCAGTTTTATGGTTGGGTCTCCCTTCCGAGGCACATATTTACGGGGGATATTGGGTCATATTCCCCCGGCGTCCTGATGATCGGCGGCCGGCGCCCAGCTCAGCGTCGAAGGCGCCCTGATACGCGGCACTGCTATCAGTGAAGGTGCCCAGGTTGCTGCCGCTCGAATTTTGGTCGCCTACTTAACAAAACCTCCGTTGGTGCCATCTCAGTTTCCTCGAGGTCAGGCAACCTTCACACGCCGTTGGCTACCTTGGCTGGCCGGCGACTCGTTCCCCTCGTGGCGACGCTCTTGACATCCAGTCAAAAGTTGGAGTGGCTGGCGCCCCCAGTGGGGGCCAAGGAAGGGGCAGTGGGCCTCCACGTTGCTCTCTTCCCGAGCCTATGGTGACTTGGCTCAACTCTCCTCAATACAATACAATACAATACAATTTTATTAGGTCCCTCCATTACATGGGTTTTGTGGTGACCACGTCGTATACATGCGAAAACACATCTGGATAAAACACTGCAGTAAAACCGGATAGAAGTGAAACCACAGAGTAAAATACACATCTAAGACATCTTCCGGTACACTAACCAGTCGACCACACCTACTGTTGACGCGCTCCTGAGGACTCGTTCCAGTGCTGGCTGGCGCGAAACAAAAATCCACGACGGCCGAACTCGGTTTGGACCCGGGGCAGACGCAGCTGTCCCCGCTCGGTCGCACGCGTGGTGCGAGCTGACTCGTCGGAGCTGAGCACCAACTTGCTCCGCAGGATTTGTGGTGCACTGTCCGAATTAGTAGGCGACTAACCACAGCTACGTCACTGTCACGAATCAAATCGTCCACACACTTCCAACCCAGCTCGTTAAGCACAGGAGTCACGTGATCTCTTCGGCTGAGGCCAGACACGACACGTGCGCCGAAATCCAGCACCTTTTGGATGCGTTTCCTCTGAGCGATGCAGCAGGCACCCCATACGCTGATACAGTATTGATACAGTCAATAGAATCTGGATTCTGCACGCTGTATGCACATGGGCGTAGACACCACTACGGACAATACGGACAGTGGGTTTGACAATCAGTAGTGCCATTCATATAGAGGGTGTCATATATGAGCGGAGAGGCAACAGTACAGCTGAGCGGAGAGACAACATTAAAACAACAGTACAGCTGGCGTTGCATGGAGCTGCAGGCAACCGGACAGCGGAGGCTTGCGAAAAATAAACAATTCGTCACTTCAACGTATAAACAATAGTAAAAGCAACATAAACACATATTCTCATGGTCGAACCCATGCACTAGCGGCTCACGGCGGGCACAGGCACGCAGTGCGGTAGCGGTACCGGATCACACGTCATGGGCGTTGTCTCAGCATAGGTTGTTCGCAATCTAGTTGAAGCCTAAGAAGACGGCCAGTGGGGTCTCACTGCTGCTGAGGCGACCTCGGAGACGATGCGTCGCCCCTCCTGTCGGCAACCTGCGGTGAGCAGGACTCCAGATAGCTGTCTGGCACGTTGCCGACACTGCCAGACGCTGTCAGCAGGCCTCACTGCTGCAAGTGATGTGCAGATGGACGCCAGGTGACTTCGTCTGCAGGCGATTCCGGAGACCGCGGCCTCACCAGGCAGCACCACCTGCATCGCCATGTCGGTGTTTCTAGAAATGGAAAAATAACAGTATCGGTGAAGGACAAGCAATACAATGTATTCTGTTTTCCTCTCTTGCAGGTATACGTAATCTACAATTATCATTGTTCCTATTTCATTCAACTGAACCTGAAAATTCCATATTGGCACATTGTTTGACTAAATTTGTGTAGTTGGGAACAGGGGCGACGCCACGATGCGACGACTGGAGGGGACATTGACCATTTTGGAGGGGACGAGGACCATTTGAAGTCGATTCTTTCCATGCAACGCCATAGGCGTAATGTTAAAATTTTAAAAAGTGGAGGGGACGAGATCCCCTCCGTCCCCCCCCCCCCCCCTGTGGCGACACCCTTGGTTGGGAAGCAGATTGTTTGAAATACATGTTTGGCTGAACAGTGCGGAAAATATTTCATTGATCACTACAGCTGCAACAAAAATACTGAGACAGAAAACAATTGCGCTTACCTGGCTCCTTAGTCAGTCCCGCACAACGGAAGTGGTACCATTAATCGCAGCCGTCGCAGCCGACCATCGGTGCTGCTGCACTCCCCACATTCCCAGTACCTTAGGAGCGTCTTGGCTGTGAAAAGATTACATGAGTCATGGCGCATACATGAATAGTAAGATGTTTTATATGTTTAACATCGCATAGCAAAGACACAACAGCTGGGAGTCAAGTGTAAGCAAGACTGTATCAAAACTTAACATCATTCCATTATTGCTCAAAACGCAAGAAGTTAACATCGTTATTTTGTCTCTCAAATTCTCTTGTTAAACGTCAAATTGTCTTATTAATGACCATGATGCGTGTTGTAGAGTGTAATATGACATGTAACAAATGGCAATAATAATTATTGTTTTCATCAATATAGCCAGGCAATAAGAATTGCAATAAATCACTTGTTCATCGAATACCCCGCAAACTAGTTTTACCACAAACTTCGGGTCATTATGTGCAACAAGCCGCCCAATCAACCATTCGGACTATATTAAAATTAAAAAAATCCATCACTTTGTAGCTACACGACACGACCATCACGCGTCTTGACCGAAACATGTGGACACATGTAAAAAGCATGTGGTCCTTATATTGTATATATGATGAATATGTTAATAATGCAGAGAAAACACAGTATAAATTATACCCAACCTTTCATCTTAATCGACTTTGTCAAGGGTGTTTGAACAGCTTGAGATGAGTGTAGTGTAAGGGTACCTAGGTTACAGGTACATCTGAAAATAAACTGAATCTGCGTTCAATAAACATTGATTTTGATAATACATTTCACAAATCAACTGCTAATAACAATCATACTAAAATAGCACGACAGATAACTAACAATCGCATGAAGAACTTCTTGATTCGCCTTGACATTGTCGTCCGAACGAATGTTGTCTGAAGTTACACCTTTGTCTTTTCTGCGCAGCATTTGTGTTTGCCATTTACCGCACCAATGTTCGCCAGCGGTGGTGACTTTTCCTTACCTGCTCACGAAACGTCACACACGACATGACGTCACCCGAAGACGTCATCAAAAAGTCCAGCTCTTAGGCGTGTCCGACAATCTCGTTAACTGGGTGGGCGGTGATTATTGTTATTTATGATAAAGTTAGATATAAATACAGTAAGGATGAGCTTTTATCCATGCCACACTTACTAATGAGAAGGTCTTCTATCAAATCATGTCTATATTATAGGAATCAAGTGAAATTTGTGGTGGTCAACTTCCCTACCCTGACTGCCAATTGAATTTGGGATGTAGAGTGACTTGGTGTGCTGGTGACCATGGCCCTCTTTCACTGCCTTGTTGCTAGGTACCTGATGCTACGAGTATTGGCCCTCAATCTCCATAGAAACCCATGCAGACTTTTCATTTTTTGCTTATTTTCATTTTTGGTTATGTTTCCATAGAAACTGGGCCCTGTTTCACCGGTGATAGCAGCACGCTGCTATCACATATGTCAAATTGGGTTTCCATGGAAACATCAACAAACCATGCCATCGTCAATTTGTGTGATGTCATCAAATATTGCTACTAACACCTTCACGGTCGTGCGAATGTATCACACGCATTCAACAAGACAGCAACTCTGTTCCAAACGTAGCTATGAAAAAGCTCACGGATTACACGAAACGTCATTAGTGTGACCGGTGACGCCATAACATTACGTCAGCTCGCGCAATTTGATAGTAGCGTGCTGCTATCACCGGTGAAACAGGGCCCTGGGCCCTGTTCGCTCGCTGTTTTTATATCAGCGTGCTGTCTGTTTTCCCCATATAAGGAAGTTATTGCTGGCGCGGCTTGGCCTCTCATTGGTCTAGCGAATAGACCACTTGAATTCGACCAATGAGGAGCCAAGAAATAGCAGCATGGTCGCAGCCTGCTGATAAATAAACGGGGTGCAAACAGAGCTCTGATTGCCAGTACCAGTCGTGCTCAGAAGCATTGTTCACACTTCACATGTAATAGGGCCCTGGTTGGTGTGCAATGCTTTTGTAATTGTGCTGTATTGTTTTTTTTTTTTTTTTTTTGCAGGAGAGCTCTGAGCAATTCAAAAACACTGGATTTGGTGACAAAAAATTGTTGATTCATAATTCATTACAGCTTGATTGACCAGTAAGTACTTTCCTACTCGTCTGTAACCTGATCTGACTGATGTGGTCATTTTTCTCAGTGGGGCAGTTTGTCTTCATTTACTTGCACTGTTTTAGATAGAAATTTCGTATGCCATTTAGCCTCTAAGTTATTATGAATCTGCCCAGACACCATGTGACAGATTTGAAAATTAGAGATATACAAATTGCTGGAATTGATTATTGATACCCTGATGCATTCCACCAACTTTGGAAGTTCTACAGGGTGTTTCACTAAAAGTGTCAAAAAGTAAATGCCTATTAAAGTTATATAAAATATGCAAATCACGTGTTTGCGCACGTGGCTTTGTTGCAAATTTTTGGACATTTATGCTTTGTCCATTTAAGATATATTTTACACTCATGCGGAGCGAGGGCAGGAGGCCAAGGAATTACTAGTGTTTTTCCCTTATGCAGAACAAGAACGTGTTATTTACACCGCAACAGGAGGGGTGAATTACACTTACCTTTGGTGCTATCAGAAACATTGAAACCGTATGCCGATTTTTCAGGATACGTTTTATTCTCTCACCTCGCTACGTTCCAGATTATAATGTTTAAAGGGCTTCTTGAGTGGTTTAAAAGGGTTTCTTCGATGCCGGTCCCAGACTCCCAGTCCAAAAAAGGCGGGGTCCCCCACCTCTCGGCGGAAACCGTTGAAAAGGTCAGGGTCTTTTTGAGGGTCTTTGAAGATAACAAGAAGCTAATTTCAACATCAGAAATAGCCAAGGCCTTACAAGTTATCAAAAACAGCCACTATAATGGCTGTAACCACCAGGCTGGATTAGAAGTTCCTGCGCCGAAAAATCATCTGCCTCGCCGCCCGCCTCTGGCCAACGCGAAGCCCCGATCTGTCACCGCTTTACTTCTGGTTTTGGTCAGTAGCTCTCGCAGAGCTGAGGAAGACTCAAGTCGCATCACTTCGGGAGCTGAAGAGCACCATTCAAGGCTTTGCCGACAGTCTGGACGCTGAAGATGAAAACGGGCTGTGAGGCACCTCCGGACACGTGCCGAAACGGTGCATCAAAAGAAGGGGCGGATATGTGGAATAGGTTTGAGTGACGGTGCTATCGTTTTTATATATTCAAATGTCCAACAATTGCGGATGAAATGGTAGGCAAATTTCCGTAGAAAACATTGTTATTATGTGCATTATGACCTTTTACTTTTTGACACTTTTAGTGAAACACCCTGAAGGAATGCTTGAAGCTTGAAGGAATGCTTGAAGCACCCTGAAGCTTAACTGAAGGAATGACAGAGCAATGAGGTTTTTAGAGGCATGGTTAGTTTATTTGAACTGGTGACCTTACCCACCTGGGGTCATTAGGTGGGTAATCGGCATCGGCATATGTTTTTCATTAAAAAAAAAAACAATGCAGATTTGCAGTCATCTATCTGACATATAATAGGTATCACTGGTTAACCTGAGACCTTGTGATTGGGTGCAACAGTTCTCTCGTGCAGAGTAACATGCTCTTTTTCGATCCGATTATTTTTGCAGTTTTTCACCATTGCGTGTGTTCATTTACCGCAGACTGGTCGGTCGCCGCTCACCATGCCGGGAGTGTGGAGCAAGTTGACGCCCGAGGTGGTCGGCCGGATACCACCGGCCGCCGCCATGAACGCTCTCTCCGGCGCCGCCATGTGCCTCTGGATCGGACACTTCCTCAAGAGATACGCCCAGCGACAGAAACGGTAACTACTTCGAGTGTGACATTTTAGAATGTTAGGTATTTTAGTATTTGCGACAACAGTGGAGTTTCTCATGAATCAAACGATGTAGCCATTTACGTAGGTACCTGAAAGCCGGATACGTAATTGATGTGTGTCACGCATCAGGCAATGAAGTAACACTTTCCCACCTTTTTCAGAATAAAAACGTCACAAACAATGGATCTTGGTGTAACTGATAAGGTACGTGGCTCCCGTATTCTAATGGCTCTGGATGTATTCAGGGGCGTTAGTTCATTTGTGCAATATCATTTTATTAAAAGTTTGTTGCGAGTTAGGTTTGGCTTTGTTTTTGCTAATTTTAGTAGTAGGTTTCACGTTCTTCCTAATTGTTTTAAAGATACTGTTCTGGTAAAGACCTTATAATGAATGAAATGCATAAACGGTCGTGGTCTCTCGATGTTCGCATTTCTTAAGAAATCATGCCAGAACTTATGATCTAGGAGACTGGAGAATTAAAACGAACGAAAATAATTCAGTTGTTTTGCATTTTCCACTGTGTTGTCATTTGTACCAAATAAATCTTTAGATCAGGAGGCTCCCAATAGGAGTCAAAGTTTACCAAATTGATCCAATTTTTACAGCCACAGTGCTTTTTCCTTCAACACAAAAAACACGAGTGTTTGGGTGCTTACCGCCACGATGTTTCTCTCGACACGTATGTCATGCTTTTCCGTAACTTCAACAAAAATGGGCAGCAATTCAAACTGTCCAAAATCAATTTAGTCATCAGAGGTCAGAGTACCTGCAATTTTAATGGATTTGCTTGCTTTATCCCAACGCAACTCAGTATTTTCACGAATCACGAGTCTAACGTCGTTATCAATACTGATACCATTGCCAACACTGACATTTATGTTCTTGTGTTCCACCTGCGTTCGTAAACATACGAATACCTGCCAATGAAATGATCCCCCATTTTATTTATTGTGGGTATGTACGTACATTTACCTGATAATGTATTTTTTACCCGCTCTCTCACAGGTACATACTTGCACAGTACATAGTTATATGTACACAATTACAGAATTTGTCTTTAATGCATATCACTAATGCATACCTAATTTTGGAGCACTGTACATCTCTGTAACTGGGTAGGTATGTTATAACTGGGTACCTAGATCGCCACAAGAGGTGGTGGTATTTAGTGGTCCTTATGTCTTTTCCCTGTTTGTCTTTTACTTCTTCTCGAACTTTTATCCCACATTTTTGTTTTGCCCTTTTCTTTTTGTTAAGCTTTGCTTTTTCTCCCTATAAACATCATACAGGGTGTCTCACAAAAAGTGTACATATTTGTTTTGTAAATAGCTCCGTAAGTTAACCCTCTAGTGCCCCCGGTATCATATCTGTAAGTCAATTTGCAGAAAATTCGCCTGCTAATCATAGAGGTGAAAATTGTTGAAAACCCTGCTGTATCAGAAGTGGTACGTCTTGGCAACCACCAGGTGGCAAAATTTTTAAGTAATGATTTCTCAGTTTCCCACCAGGTGATTTTGGAGAGGGTCAGTTTCTCCTTTGCTGAAAATCAATTTGAGATGCAAGTGTAAATTTGAGCATTTAGAAAACAAAAAATTGGTTATTTGGAAAGAAACTTGGTATACTGTGAGACAAATCTTCACCATATATCATAGTATGTTGCAAAACATTGCAGCTATTTCAGGGTCAAAGATATGGACCCCTAATTTTGGGGATACTAGATATGATACAGTGGGCATAGCACTCCAATATTTTCTGTGAAATTTTCGCCGCTGCAACATACGGTGTGCCAATACCATAGTTTTCTCAGGTGATAAGCATTGCAATGGCCTGTGAGTCATTGCAAATGGCGATGGTACAAGCTGCATAAATTTGTGAAGTTCGCACCTCTTGCGCCAGATAACTCTATTTCGTTCCGGGCTTAAAATGTCACAACAATATTGGTACGCTTATGCCGCCTCTCATCCTTGTCAATCACCTAACATCTAGCTTTCTATGAATGGCCTTACATGCCTCATACATCTCGACTTTTCTAACGCTCATAGGAATCTGGTTTTCCAACTGTTTGACGATGACGATAGTGAATTTTTTGATCGCAGGACACTAGCAGACCATGTCTTCTAAAACCACGTTAGGAATGTCATGCTATCGATGACAAGCTTGTTGATTTCAAAGAGCGATCATCCGTGCGAGCATTTATACTCGTGAAACAAAAAATTGAGACTTGACTTTGTTTGGTACAGGAGGATTCAGCGGTCTCTTGCACAATTTCGATATTCCAACGGGTTGTGGACGGGCTTATGCCTTGTGGGTCTATGTGATAGCTGGGCAATGGGCATGGCCGAAGACTTGCATTAGCAGCCAGCCAGCATTTTTCGTTCATACTGGAGAACGCCTCACAATTTGTTTGCGATTCAAATCTCCTCGGTTCATCCCAGTTGTAAGAGATTGAATGTGGAGTGGAAAACTACATTGTCATCGTCAGAGGAAGCTCGCGAAACGGGCTCGCAATGAAGACAGACTCAGGGCCGAAGGACGTGGTTCCTTTGATTTCCTATCTAAGAAGTAGGCAACCATGCACTGCTGCCAGGTTCCAGCGGGTGCCTGACACCTGGCAAGCATTTTCACTGCCAGGTGTCATTTGTTGTCCATATATTGACGTATGCCGCCAAGTATGGTAGCGAGTGCCACTGAACAAAAAGGATTTATACTAAAACATGGATACTACTTCTGTACTAAAGTGCGGCATTGCGTATGCTCACCTCCATATGAGGTCAATGAATATTGTGCAAGCTCCTGCCGATCGGTGCACAGTTACCTGTACCTTTGTTGTCTGACATGCGTACAACGGTTACTGCACTGGTCAGTGCGCGGCTGTTATACTGACGCCGATGACATCAGGACCGCACGACCAGTCAAAGTGCGAACTGACGATTCACAAGCTGAGAGTTTCAGTCACCCGAGATTGTCCGGCTATCATGAAGATAAACCAACATCGTCTTTGGCATTGATTCCGGTCCGTCGGCGGGCTGTCCAGCATTTTGCATCAGAACTGCTTCACTTCGACCACTTACCGCGAGCCAACTGTCATGTCTTCATTTCTATATCAAGTATGCATAACGCATTTACGTTTGAGAAGCATGGCCCACATGTCTGAAGTATGAAAAATTACGCAAGTTCAACGCGCTGTATCGTGGAAATAAGGAATAGAATAGAAGGCACTCATGAATAGATGCCTATGATTAGCGTTGTTCCCTAAGCACCGACTGAAATGATATTTTGATACAGGTAGGATGCCAATGAAATATTAAGAAAATGTTCTGATAAGTGGCGCGCACAGTAAAGGATTTCTTGCTTGCATTTTACACATTCTAACTGCCACTTTTATGACTGAAATTTTTGGTAACACAACCTTCTCATCTACGTCTTAACTTCCTTCTGTGTGGTCTGATACCACTGAAAATAACCAAGTGGAATGCCCAATGTATCATATTTGATACAAAAATTATTTCCGAAATTTGAACTGCGAAATTTTTTTTGACTTAAGATTTCGAACAAGGGACCCAAAATGAATCATATGTCACAAGGTGCTAATTTTAGGAACCGTGGAACTATGTGTGGGCATTAGAGGGTTAAAAACATACGTAAAAAACACAAATATCGCTGGAAAGCACAAAGCTTGCAAATTTATTCGCATATCATTTGCACGTCTTTATATTCACATACCGAATCAGTTTCCCATACTCTAGCTATGCGCTCATTTTTTAGATGCTCAAATGACAGCCTTTGCGCTCAGCGCACGTGGTGGCGCGCCTCATGGTCTCCTGAGCTACACGGGCGCATGTCTCCATGGTTATCCCGCGTATGGCTCCTCTGATGGCCTTTTTTAGCTCGTCTAGCGTGTGCGGCGCCTTCACGTACACGACATCCTTCAGATACCCCCATAGATAGAAATCCATGGGGGTGAGGTCGGATGAGTGGGGTGGCCAGCTGTGGGGGGCCCGCCTGGAGATCAGCCGGCTTCCCAGGCGCTCGGTCAGCCAGACCAGCGTGGCTCTTGACGTGTGCGCTGGAGCGCCGTCCTGCCGGAACCATTGCAGGCAAATGGTGTCCGCGCACTTGCTGTTGAGAGACCGCCAAAAGCGCTTCAACACTGCCAGATAACGGTCTGAAGTCACCGTCACTGGTTCTCCGTCACCGTCTTCAAAGAAGATCGGTCCGATTATGCCCTGGACGCTAAGCGCGCACCAGACCGTCACTTTTGGAGAACGTAATGGGACTTCCAAAGTCTTCTCTGGCGGGTGTTTGCCCCAGTGTCTGTGGTTTTGACGATTAGGTAAGCCGTGAAGGTAAAAGTGTGCCTCGTCGGACCACCAAATGTTGCCGATGAAACCGGGGCAAGACGAGCACTTTCCTAAAAACCAACGGCAAAACTCCAACCGTTGTAGGCAATCAGACTTGGAAAGCTCTTGAGATGTTGATAACCTGTATGCCTTAAGCTTCAGGTCCTTCCTAAGAATCCGATGCGTGGAACAGCGGCTGAGTCCAACTTGTTGCGCAAGGTGCCGCACGGACACTCCAGGCTTTTCCTCAACTCGCCGAATGACTTGTCCGATTTTCAAAGGTGTTCGGGCAGTTATCTTGCGGCCGCTGTTTCCAGTGTTTTGATTTCCGACTGTTCCGTGAACCAAGAAATGTTCAGTAAGCCGTTTTATTGTGTTTGCCGGTGGTTTCTCTCTTATTGTAGGGAAATGAGCCCTAAATTTCCTCTGAGTCAATACCAGGGAACCGGTTTGAAGATAAAATTTCACGATTATTTTCCTTTCCTCTTCACTTAACTGTTTCATGACTCTCACTAACAAATTGTATGTCAAATAAATTTGCACAAGCTAAGCTTCAATTTAAGCCTGAATTTGACGTGAGCGCGTGCTTATATGCTGAAATATATTCATTTTAAATGTGTACACTTTTTGTGAGACACCCTGTACAGTACGTACAGTACTAACTGTATGTCTTTGAATCATCGCCATCGCTCAATGACCTAGCTTTCTGTCTATTTACATTACTTGCTATTTGTATACCGGTCGTCTCGTCTTGTTTTGTGTACTTACAAGTCACACTTAAGTACTCCTGGATACGTAACAATACGTAAATCAGCCCTACGATACTTCCCACCGAACTGGGTTTACCGAGCAACAAGCTTGCTT